CAGAATTGGAGGTTTTTTATTTCCTTGGTATGCTTCTAAACTTGGGAATAAGTTTCCAACTGACCTTAGAGATATCTCTGATCCTAATCTTTTTAAACGTGCACTCAAGACTTACTTGTTTGCCTATGCCTACCATTGTTTTCCTGAATTATTGAGGCTTAGCTTGCGCTTCGTAATTTCAAGGGAAAGGCGCAATGTAAATATCTAATATCAGTACCAGTATCAGATAGGCCCTATGTGGATTGAATATGAACATTCCCATACTTATCTATACCAAGGAAATTGGCATAAGACACGTGGGCCCCTTGTGGAGTAAATGTGGGTATTTCCATATTTATCTGCCAATGTATTTGGCATATGGGGCCCATGAAGATTAAACATGGGCACTACCGCATTCTGCGACTGATGGAAGCAGCATCTCAATCACATGTTTAATTCCCCCTCATGAATATACGGAACCCTCATGAATATGCGGAACATGTTTTGTCTCACAAAACATGTTTTGTAAAAGACAAAACCATGTTTGTCTTTTACAAAACGTGTTTTTTAAGCTACAAAACATGTTTTTTGTTTGAGTGAACGACAAAACACTGTCTTCCATAACACGATTTTTTCTGTTTACAACACATAGTTTCTGGCTTACAGAGTTAAATTATATGACAAAACAAGTTGTGTCTTATAGAGCCCTCCCAAAGACACACTACCTTTTTTGTCATGTTTGTAGGAGACAGACCATGTTTTGTAATTACAAACACTTTTGTTTCTTACAAAACACGTTTTGTTAAAGACAAACATTGTTTTGTCTTTTACAAAACATGTTTTGTATATGCAAACATAGTAAAGTAAGATTTATAAATTTCTCAATCAACATGGTTTTGTCTTTTACAAAACATAATTTGTAATTTGTAACATGGTTTTGTCTTCACAAAACATGTTTTGTTTATGACAAACGTGGTTTTTTGTCTTCACAAAACATATTTTGTATATTTAAACATGGTTTTGTCCTCACAAAACATATTTTGAATCGACAGACACGGTTTCTCTTTTACAAAAGATGTTTTGTAAGCCAAACATAGTTTTGTCCTTACAAAACATGTTTTGAACAAACAACTTTGTTTTGTATAGAAAAAAATGGTTTTGTTTTTTTACAAAACATGCTTTGTATAGACAAAAATAGTTTTGTTTTCTTACAAAACATGTTTTGTATAGACAAACATGGTTTTGTTTTTACAAATCATGTTTTGTACAGACAAACATGGTTTTGCTTTTTACAAAACATGTTTTGTACAGACAAACATGATTTTGTCTACTACACATGTTTTGTACAAACAAACATTGTTTTGTCTTTTACAACACACTTTTGCAAAAGATAGACATAGTTTTGTCATTTACAAAACGTGTTTTGTACAGACCCATATGGTTTTGTCTTTTCTAAAACATGTTTTGTACAAACAAACATGGTTTTGTATATTACACAATATGCTTTGTAGAGACAGAATAACTTTCGTATATTACAAAACATGATTTGTCCCTTTAAAAAATGGTTTTGTTTGACAGAACGGGTAGTGTGTCGTTTGGCGCCCCGTAGGTGAAAGATGGTGTGGTCTTGAAAGATAATTGCTATATGTTTTATAGATAATTGGATTATTACAAAAGATGTTAGGGTATCCTTTAGTCTTATTGAGATTTCTTTTGAGATATAACCCCTCAGCCTATTTCAATACACTCTAAGAAAACGTTCCAGCAAGATCTTTCAGTATTACTACCTAATGGTGCATATTATTTGTTAAATTTCCTGTTAGCCGGTTCTATATTAAGGTAAAAAAAGAGATAATAATTAGTACCCGTTTAAAGTTGTCCATACTAGACATATGTCGGGAATTTAATTTGTAACCGTGCATTGGGATAAGATAGTGGAGGATTGAGAATTTAAAAAAATATTGCAAGTTTAAAAAAATAACCATGACACAATAAGAAGCATATACAACTGTCGTTGTTTTTATTAATTTTTTGTTGATTTCAAATTATCATAAAACAGATTTTTCGCTTGGGTTAATTGAAATAAATTTATTAAGAATTGATGTAATCAGGCCCGTAGCCAGGTCATTTCAATGGGAGGGGGGCTTCCCTGGGCGTGGGGTCCAAGGGCCTGCCTAAGGGCCACGGTGGGGTTGGGGGCGAAACCACATACGCCGGAGCAGGTTTTGTGTTTAATGGGTCTATATAATGTTTTAAAAGCAGTTATGTTTTTAAAAAGATCTATGTAATAAAAAGGTGGTAATATAATAAAATTAGAAAATATTTTCTGAGAATTGGCATGTTTAAATAACACCGAAAGATATAAAAAAAAACCCTCATCGCATAATCAATATCAATATACTCAACACATGTATTATTATAAAACAAAAAAAAAGCTATTCTTTTTCTTCTTCCTCCTCTTCCTCTTCCTATTCTTCTTCTACTACTTCTTCTTGGCTCTCATTTTGTACACTGAAAATAATAGTACTATTTTACTACATGGCTAAAAAAGCACAAATATTGTCATTATTACTGACAGGGTCCAAAATATAGCATCATATTCAATACGTTATCTGACATCATGAGAACCTAAACTTTAATACAATTATTTGTTATATTTTAGGCCTAATTCGAAATTATTATTTTAAGACTTTAATATAATAGGCTACATACTGATTAATAATAGCTGGGATTTGATGCACATTTTAGAATTAATAGTCGTTTTTATTATATCTTCCTGAATATTTATTGTCTGCTAAATAAAATATGAATTATAAGCATCTTTAGAAATACAATTTCTACAATATTAATCTTGTTTTTATATAGATAAATGTTCGATAAATTCTATCTTACATAAAAAAAAAAACCAAATTCTGCGCGTCTATTTTCATTCTAATCAATGGCGTTTGTAAACGTGCACTGACGTCATCGTCGAATTCAATGACTTTCGACGGTAAGCTGTCCTACCTGCCCCGGTCCCAGGCCAACCAATAATAATTAACAAAATGTGTTTTTTTTTTTAAATATAGGTCTATGGCGCATTTTGTACATGCACTTCAACTTTTACAACAAAAGCCTAGGCCTAGTACCTGTAGTACGTTCTACTGTACTTAGGCATACACTAATTTGTTGTCGTCGGGGTATAATTCTGTCTCTAAATGAACGAGGAGCGAACCTAGCTAGTTAACATCTAGGCTAGGCTATGGTTTTTGAAATCAATAACCCACCTTAAAGGACTATCTGTCGTTGTCTTCTTTGCAACAGCGGACGAAAAAAAAAGTCAGTTATTCTAGGACGTTTCATGATTCTTTATCACTAAAAATTAACAAACACTCGTTTTGACGCACTCCGTTCTGTAGTGTGTGTCTGCTGTTGAAAACAAACTTCCTAGCCTAATTCTGTGACTGGCTATGATGCCTGAGATGGACCATGTTGATTTATTATTAATATTTTGTTTGGGATAGAAAAAAGGAGAGTCAATTTTTCCAAAATGCTCCAACAGCACATAGTTTCGTGTGCACTATAGACAGTATGGCTATGAAATTTACTAACCACACAATCCACAATCAGGTGACTAAGTCGCAAAACTTTATTTGCATTTGGTGGATTAATTCGCAAAACTTTATCTTCGTTTGGTGGCACCATTTACTTTAGGTAGAAGGCGACCGGTTTCGTTAACGGTTGGTACATTTCTTACAAACATTCAGCCAAAGGCCAGTGAAAGTTGAGACGGCAGCCGGGTTTTTATCGATGTTTGCCATTTTTATGTGTGCCATCGTAAAGTCATGGTTTGTTGGAGTTGCGTTCAATTTAAATCTCCGAACTTCTGAAGCTGAGATATTCTATGAATGTAGGTTTGTATCGCAGGCTACAAATTAAAAACGGGTGACCAAATAATGAATTAGGTGCTAAATTTTGATTTAATGCTAGATAAGTTAAAAACAGACATTCCGTAGCGAACCCCCGACAATTCGAGGGGGTTCGCTAGAAAACAGGGGGGTTCTCTAGAAAAGGGGGGTTCGCCCGAACCATAACTCCCCTCCACCTGGCTACGGGCCTGGTCATCATTGGATGGATGGACGGATGGATGGAGGGATGGAATTATTCAGTGTAAACACCAAGCATAATCCACGAACGTCTAGAAGACTTATTTCCAGTGGGGTCGAAAGAATGTGCGCTATCGTAACTTGCACTTCAGCCCTCCCGCTGGAACACAAGGACAGCAGCGATGGGAATTGAACCGGGGACTCCACGGGTCAGCGCACATACAATGTCTACCACCAGATTAGCCAGATATGCCAATCCCAACTTCAAGCTGTTAGCTAATGTCGCCGGGATAGGGGAACCATATTTAGGGGACACCCCTATTAACGTGACAATTATTTTGGATTCTGAAGGTTCCCCTTAATAAGGTTCTACTGTATTATTATTATTATTAATTATTATTATTATTATTATTATTATTATTATTATTATTATTATTATTATTATTATTATTATTATTATTATTATTATTATTGCATGGTTAGGCTATTCTACTGGGTTTTAGTCAAAGGCGAGTCAAATGGCCTCCCGGCACCCTCGCCTATATTTCTGGTGGTAGAACAAGTCTTCTCTGATAAGGACTATAAACCGTAGGCCGAGTTTATACAATGGCTTGTGTGATAAAAAAAAAAAACCCAGTACATCATTCGAGACGAGTAGGGGGATACCCCGGTGTACTCTAACAGAGAGCCCCTGTGGTGGACGACGAGAGTTGTTGGCAATGGATTACCGGGTAGTACAGACACAGAGGGGTAAGGAAAGTCATTGATCGAGTTCAAAGTCCACATATCAAGCGCCCTGTGCATCTTACGTTAGATGGATATGGCGCTACATAAAACTACATTATTATTTTATTAAAACGATTTGATTGATCGGTTGGTTAGTTTTCTTGCATATATGGTAATTGATAACACTATAGGGTCTTATTTATAATTTACCTTAACTGCTAACTGGTCAATCTTTTCTTTGGTACTCTGAAAGATAGTAAGTAAAAAATAAATTTTAAAGTACATTAATTTTACGCACTAAAATATTCATTATCACTGCCATTACTGTAATTTATTTAACTTATTTTTAATTGTTTAATTTAAAATTATTATGTGTTCATTCCACGTCTATTCATGCAGGAAACCCCTATCAAAATATTTTTTATATAAGTTTATAATAATGTCATTTCTTGCCACCAGCATGGTTTCCTGAAGATATGCTCATATAAAAACAATTTCTAGAGTGCCTTTCTAAATGAGGGCAACCCTGATCAGTTATACAAAAACCTGCTTTCCACAGGGTCCCTCAAGCACCAATACAAAAATACATACATAACAAGTCATTTACATTATCAGTATATAAAAAGTAAGGAATCACACAATAACAACCAGCTTACAATTAAATTAAAACAGTTAACTATGCAACCTACAAATATATAGAAGTCAACGGCAGGAATTTAAAAGAAAAAAATTCATGCACAATTTGGTGTAAAAAGTGAATAATACAAGAAATAAAATTTAAAAAGTTAAATAACAATTTATAAAAATGTATAAAAAGTAGAAAAGTATAATCAATTTGTAAAATAGTTTGGTTTTTCACAAATTATTTGAAAGTATAATAACATCCGTCTTTGCCAAGTACATCAATCTAGTTATCGCTTGAGAATATGTTCCTTGAGCTTAGATTTAAACATGTTCACTTTTTCTGCCTCTCTAATAGCGACAGAAAGAGCATTCCAAAATCCAGAGCAATAGATAGAAAGAGTTGCGACATTGAGAATTTAGAAGCCATTTTGTTTCATACGCGATGCGCGTTCTGTGTCTAACATGATGTGCGTTCCTTTGTATAATATTGTATAATACATTTAGCGGCCTCCTGTATAGTTTAATTTCATTTAATCTTTTTAGCAGTCGAATTTCATGTAACTATTTATAGATTTTTTTTAATGATTTCACTACTTTAAGCAGTTTTTTAATCCTCGCCGATAGACCGAGAGAGCCCCTCGATGGCAAGCATTCTTTAATTATGCAATCCTTTAGTAGCTCCTATTATTTTTGCAAATAACTGATATGTGACGACCAGCAAAAATTAATTAAATATGTATATCAAAATGTAATTTAAATCCGTTTAGTGTATATACAATTTTGCTCTTTAAATTTGAGTATGAGCGAGCCCTATACAAATCTTAAGTTATTAATTTGATTATTATTATTTATAAATATTATAATAGTATAGGTCAGTTGGCCGCAATATATAAACTGTGCTTTGCTGTATACATGGGTACACCATGACCATATCTGTCTCTTATACACATCTAGATGTGTATAAGAGACAGAATTAAGTGTGTGAAATTAATATGCAATGTACGTAACACATATACTTTGCATGTGTTCATCGGGAAGATTATGAAACAAAATGGACGGTGTGTACCACGTGACTTTCGTAAACCAAGGAGCGGAATGTCACAACTCTTTATATATATGGCTCTGCCAAAATCCACCCCTCCCCATCCCCTCCCCTTATATAACGTGGATCTCTTTGCAGTTTCAATATTTGCTTTTAAAATTACGGAGGTTTCCATTTAACTTCGACCTTGTATGTTGACATTGTAAGACCTTTTTACCCTTTCTATTATGTATGGCGGACTAAGACAATAATACATTTAGAAAGTAAGTGGCTCTTTTTTATACAAATCTTGCACGTGGAAATCTCTTAATCGATAAGCCATAGTCATCCTTGCGGCCGGCCATGTTTTGCAAGACTTGCATCCTGTTTACATATTTATCTGGAGCAGAACTCCAGAGAGAATAACAGTACTCAAGCAATGGCAGTATCAGTGCATTGTATAACATCTTACGTGTATTGAAATCTACAAAGTATCCTATTCTGTATAGTAATCCTATCTTTTGAGATAGTTTGCTTGCAAGATGATCAATATGTTTTTCCCAGTTAAGAGATGGGTCGAAAAATACCCCAAGGTACTTATATTCAGTTACACTTTGTAAAGGGTTTCCATTAAGCTGAAGGTTAATATTACCTGTTTGGGTTAGCTTTTGGGGTGTGCCGAAAGTCATAACCTTGGTCTTGGACACATTAACAGACATGTGATTTACCTGCATCCACCTATTTACACCGATTAGTCCCTCCCTCAGGTGATCTTCAACCTTACCTTTGCAATCTGCCACATACATCAACACTGTGTTGTCGGCATAAAGCGCGATTTTACAATGCTTAATTGCTTGCAGTAAGTCATTGGTGAATATTATAAACAATAAGGGTCATTCCTGATGATGACATAATTAATGTCGAAATATTGAATCCCAACACGATGGCGTGTATTTCAATACTTGGAGTATGTATTATACTTTCTTAAGGGTCCATGTATTATACTGATTTGGGGCACACCAATAGATACTGGCCTTGGATCTGACAGCAGAGAGTGTTCATTTAAATAGTCGGAAAAACATGTTTGAGCTTTATCTTGGATACAATAAAAGTAAAGTTTCTTTAGTAATACTGAGTGGTTCACAACATCGAAAGCCTTCTTAAGAATGGTTGTCCATAAAAATCAAAGATTTGGTGGCAGATGTCAAAAAATGGATTTCTCTCAAATTTTTTTTACCATGAATAGATACTTAGATAAAAAGCATATCTATGACATTTGTTTAATTTTTTAGCCTTCGTTGTAATGGCAACGACCCATTATCTAATTTTTATCGTTTTTGTCAATTTTGGACATTTTCAAAAGTGAAAAAACACTGACTTTCAGACCTTATTTAACAAAAAGAACATGCACTATATATATTTTGGTGATCATCCATGTAAATAGCCAGGTATTAACTTTCATTTATCGCAACAACAAAAAATTTTGTAAAAAAATCTGTTTGGAAGATACCATTATTTACAAAAGGGTTTTTTTCTCAAAATATATATTTTTTTAAAGTATGCATCAGAAACCTATCTGTAGCTTCCAAAGTGGTGCACACATATCCACCATCTTCCATATTTTGATAGTCAATAGTTGTCCAAACAATAATCAAGAATAAAAGTTGTGGGTAATTTAAACACGTGAATGCGGTATTGCCAGAAAAAAACGTCATTTTTTGAATAAAAATATATCATTTTTTACTGAATAGATAACACTATACATCAACATAAATTTATTTAAAAATAATGTTACTACAGTTACATAAATAGTCTAACAATATGTTAAGAAATGTGTTGCCGGGCTCATTTCAAGTAATTTAAAACTTAATTTTGTACTGTATTGTCAGAAAATAGCACTGTTTTTATTGAAAATTAACATAAATATACATTATTTTAATGAACAGTTAACGCTATAAAATATAATATAATTCATTAACCATAACAAATATAGTTACCTGACTAGTTTAACAACATGCTAAGGAATGTTTTGTAGGGTTACTGTATTGCCAGAAAAAGCAGCATGTTTTCATTAAAAAATATTGTAAATATTAATTTTTTTACTGTACGGAAAATGCTATAATATAAAATATAGGCCCTAATTCATGTCACCATAATATTACTATATATACGACTATTATAACAACATGTGTTGCCAGGTTTATTTCAAGTATGTTAAACTTACTGCATTACATGTAAAGCAAACAACTTAATTTAACTTTCTGAAAAAACAAAAAAACAAAAAACAAATTCAAACTCTGACAAAAGCAATCCATGATAAATTCGCTTTCAACGACGAGTTATGCTTTTCAACTTAGGAAGACTCAATTTAATTGTAGAATTCACCATAGAAAGTTAATTTTGCCAATTGGATGTTAAAGATCCACTCTTTCTTGGACAAGCATTTTGAGGTTGTCTATTGCGATTCCTCTTCGGCAGCTTAAAGAATATCTTCATTTGACTCGTCAACAGTTTTGTAGCCTATAGTGTACTATTTTGTCTTGACACTTCTCTAATAGCTTTACATCTTTTGCTCAGATATTCTGATGGTTGAGATAACTCACTGTCGTCCCTAGCTATTTTCATGTTTTTCTCAACCCCTGACACTGACTATTTGGAATTCCTTTTGAATATATTCTTTTTATTGTTTCTGAAAATCTTTTCTTGTTTTCTTTGAATGTGAAGGTGCGTATTTAATAAGTGTTGAATATCTTTTCAGTAAACTTCTATCAGATTACTCTTCATATTCTTCATATCCACACCTATTTACTTAATATGGTAATACATGGTACAACACAAGATTTAAATATTTCACTCCATGCACTTTTTGTCCAATTGTTCTTATGATCACATTCTTAAATATCTATTTCGCTTAGGAATACAACAATCAGCCTTCTTACCGCCTCCTTGTAGAACTGAACTTTTCAAATCTTCTTCCATATTCTCTTAATGTCTATCTGTCTTCTGCCAACAATTCCTCCATTTATACTATTCTGCTACATTGATCTATTGTTTAATTTGTTTTTTTGGCCATTGCAAATATATATTGATGAATATAAATGTAATGTTTCTTGTATGGCAGGTAATAGTCGACTGATGGCTTTTGGAGCAAATGAAAATTTAATTGAAAGATTAGACATTAGAAGATAAAAATGCTACCATGGGAATATGCAAGTGTCGGTTGAAAGCCTTTTAGCATAACCTAATTCTGCTTTGTCCAACAGTGTTTGATTCTCAGGTCTGTATTCAAGTGTTCCTGTAACTATCTGATTTTCTAGTGTACAGAAGCTTATGTAAGACTTTATAAATCTATCTTTGGGACAGAAAAACAAATGATTATTAAACGTATCCTTCATTTCTAAGTGCACACATTGGTAGGTGTTGGCAAACAGGTTGATCAGACACCTTCGCAGTGATCATTTCCTTAAAAATTCCATTGTATTTTGTTGGTTCATGCACACCAAAAGACACTATGGTATCTTTAAAATTTGTTTTCACTCTCTGAACCAGGTAAAATGTCATATGCCCTCCATACTCAAACTGCTGTCAGGGGCGGATTTGG